AAAATGGATATTATATACTCATAATTATCATTTTACTATTTCCAGTTTGATCCGTCAAAGGATGTGGCTGTGTTTGCAAGGATATCATATGATGCTTATAATGAGAGACTTAGTATAGTGGAAGAGATTGACGAGAAAAAAGAGAAGAAGTTCTACGAGTACATTCTCCTCCATAGAGAGGTACAATGATAAGTAGAGCGCTTTCCGATTGAGTGTCGCAAAACGGAAAGGAAATTTAATAATCACTCTGGCCAATGACAAAGGACGCAGAAATACAATTAATCGATCAAATCTCAAAGCAAATATATAGAGAGGTATTACACGGCAGCCATGTTGCATGGTAGGAATAATAGATTCGTTTTCCTATGGGAAAAAATGTTCTTTCTAACGCAAAACATTTTCATTGTTCCTGCCATGCAACATGGCTGCCGTGCAAAACCTCCATACTATATGTAGCGGACCTGCAGCGCGGGAAAACGTATTCGAGTGAGTGATGACGATTGGTTTTGGTTTGATTGGATGAAAAAGTGATTGGATGAAAATCGTATTTTAAGGCAATCGTGTAGCGTTGAAATACAAACCCATTTGATTTTCCAACGCTCAAATGAAAACCGCTCAATTGGCACAACTTTTGCTGATAACCTTGGAGTACCTGGTAATAATTCTGTGTTAAAACTTATTTAATTTCAAAGGTTTAAATTTAAACCCGTCCATAAACCCGTCCACGCGACATAAATACTCTTTCCCTTGGCAATTACTGACTAGCACCCAGTTGGTCCGTCTACGTTTTCACAAGTGGACTACTGTAGGGAATAAAATGTCATCACCGACAATTTCCCGATGGGATCCGATTTAAGCCTAGTGCAATTTCGCCATAGCGTATAGAAGCATCCCTTGGGACGCTCACATTCAAACCATAACAATAGTCAAAGCTTGATATGATTTATTAATTTATTTATGATTGATTATTCCTAAATTATTTTTTAATTTTTACTCCCTCAGCGCACCATGTACCAGATCGAATTAAGCATTAACAAGACTGGAAAGTGTGTCAAGAAAGACCTGGATGAACCCTTCCACAGGTTTGAGATACCGAGTAATGCAACATTTTATGGAGAAGCAACCATCGGTTCAAATGCTCTTCCTGGCCTGGGAGTGAACGTGGCTCTTTTTGGGGGAGAAATGGGAGACGGTAAGACCAAAGTGCAGCGCGCGCCAGCATTATTTTGTTTGTCAGTGTCATTTGATCAATGGCGATGACGAATCTCGTTGTAAATAATTTAATTTCAGATCGTTATTATGTGACGGTTACCGAGCCGGGTTGTGTTCCAGTTCATGAAAATGTGGTGTCCAAGAAGTATGGCTTCATTCACACCAGGTTGGTTCGCATGTTGTTCATGTCACTTTCTGCCAACGTGCCCCTGTAGTATATGACGTATAACCCTGTTAACAAAATTATGATGCTGGCCTTTTCAACAGGCGAAAACAGCGAATATAACAAATTCCCGCGTATTTAAGCAAAATGTGCCGGTATTTGTAGGAAACGGAGCATTTTAGGAAACCGCAAACAACGATAATTGAAGGTGTGCGCGCTTATCTTTTGCAGTCTTTTCATGTATGAAACAATTTCAAATTCCTTTTGAGAAAAGGTGATAAAATTGAACGGAAAGATTTGAAGCCACTTCAAAGTTAATCGTTTTCCAGGTATATAATACCGGAATTTGCCAAAATAGAGTGAAAACCTTTTTTTTCGAATTCGTGTGAACGAAAATATGAAATAAATCTCATATATAAACCGTGGAAAAGTTGGGAGAAGGAACTTTTGTCCTCCCTATAAAACCCTCCCTGTACTCGCCTGCTTCACTAGTGAAATATATTGTTGTGGGTAAAATGCCCTGAAGTGTAAGGTTTGGAGCTCTGACAATTCATTTCAATCTGGATTGCAAAAATAGGTTACTGGTAGAATTTGATAAAAAGGAATGCTTTGTGAAGCTTAATAGCAGACGTTGAAGTATTCTGCAATTTCTTTCAGCTTTTTCGATGTGGAGCTTGGCGTGGATCCTGAAAGGTTTGTTCCTCCAAGTGAATGCGAGGAGTAGTAATCTGACAACATGTCGCCCATGCACAGCTTATTTCAGTCACCATGTATTAGTGATTAATTTTGTTCCAGAGCCCTCCGTTTTACTGGCCAGCAGTAATGGAGGAAAGGCTCTGTAAAGGGATTGATTTGTAGTTCATTGTTAAATAAACAAGCTGATGCAAGAACATTACATTTGTGGAGTTGTTTACCTTTACTGGTCAGAACTTTTTGGTGAAATTGGTCACTGCTGTAACTTTGCGCGGATTCATCAAGCTTGAACGTTCGTAGCCCACGAGCAGGCTCATGTTGGAGTACAAGCGCGCGGCGTAGCCGAGAGCGCGAATTACAGAGATCAAGGCAGGCTCACTTTCTTGGCACCTCTTTACCAGACTCCTTCCCACCGGATCGCTTTGCTCTTCACTCCTCGCGCGCTTGACTCCAAGGTGAGCCCTCTCGCAGGCTAGAACGTTCGGAGACCGTCGTTTAGTTTCTTTCGGTGGATCACTTTCCCTGCCGTTTATCGACATTTTTCGATAAAAAGAATAAATTTCTATTTATTAGGTGTTTTATTCTTGCCCATAGCTTCATTGAATTCCGTACTTTTGAGCTCTTCGTTTAGCTATACGAAGATTTCAACTTTCAAATGTCTCATTCACGGTTAAGTCATATGAAAAGGTTGACAACATTTGGAGTTATTAACGCTACAGACCCATTTCCAAAATGTAGGACGAAGATTGTTTGCCTTTGTTTGACTCAACTTACATATCAACCCTGGAAATTGTTATTGTCATTGTTATTATTGCATATCTGGCTCGAGAAACTCGTCTCATCGCAGTAAAAGTTGGGAATAATTGTATAATTTGAAGATTTTCGTGCGGACGTCCTTAGCAGATTTGCTCTCTGGGTGATTACTTTTTTCGTTGTTGGGGAGGGAGGATGAGTGGAAAGGGCGAAGAAAATCTCTAATGGTTAGAACGTGCTCAGCGCACTTGTTGAGAGCATTTTCTAAACTCGAGGCGTTAACATCAGCGCTGTTATGATTGTTTAGAACCGATTTTTCGTCCGAACGCTCGCTTCTGTTAGACCGCTTCTCTTTGGTACTCTCATCAGATATGACATGTACAAGTTCCTGTCGAATTTGAAACCCGCCTACTTTTCATGAGGGCGGAAAAGAATGTTGACAGGTTTCACTAAGAAAATAAAGGAATGAAAGTAAAACGAGAAATAACGCCTGTTCGCGGGCCATGTTTTGACTGTGTTGATAGGCAAACAATGTCAGATCTGCAAGACCAAGTTGTTCCAAGAAATTAGGTTAATCCTGCGTTAGCGTGACTTTTGATTCCAGTTTTACAACTAATCAGTGAGATTTTCTAGTTTTTAATGTCGTCTAGTTTTCAAGTGGACTAATCTCAATCTACACCAAGCAAAAGCAGTGAAAAACACCTTAAGCACGCTTGAGCTTGTTTGTCCGCGCCCCGATGGCGTTAAATGTAAATCTGCTGTCTAAATTAGCTTGTGGACTTTGATTCTTGTTTGACCCCACCTTATCTCCCTACACATGAAATCAATTTTGTTCCAAGTGTAAGCTAAGAGGAAATCAGCCGCCAGGTTTAAACTCCTTCCGCAAGTCCCCTTCTGAGGGGGTGGGTGCAACCGTACATGACCCCATTGTCATCTATAGTGAGCGCCACGCCCAAGCCGATCGGTACAAATGCCTTCAAGTACTCCAACTCGGTCACGCCTTGCCCCATGTCACGCACCTCTTGTAGCACGTTCTCGGCCACTGAGAACTCTTCTATAGGAACGGCTTGGAAAAAGTCAGAAAAATCCGGCAACAGGAAGGTGGGAGACTCCATAGCTTCTTTGGGGTTCATGTCGCTATCCAAGAGATTCGTCACATACTGTGGAACCACGATGGGATACGATGAACCAACAACAGACAGCGCCATGACAGGTCGACGACCTTCAGATGATTCCTCACTCTTGAAAGCAATAGCAGGCTGTAGAGCTACCGGCAGCCTACCCCCAGGACTTGTCTGCTTGACGTAGGATTTAAATATGGCACCCGAATGCGGTAAGGCGATTCCTTGGACGAAAAGACCCGTCCCCCACATTTGGCTGTTGATAGTATGAATCATGGAGCAAACGTTTCCGTCCTTATCAGCTGCAACTATAGCATCTGACCCATGTATAAAGTCAGTTTCCTTTCCTCCGAGGAGTTTCCTTATCACGGCGTTGACTTCTGTCATCTTTTCAGGAGAGCCGATCTTCTCCCAAATGGCCTCAGTGGAACCAAAGGAGAGACGATCTGACAAATCAAGGTCTAAGCTCTCTTTTAAGATAGACAGCCCATTGGGGTTACCGTGCAAGAAAAATGAGACAAAGTAACTAAAGCGAGAGATAGAAGCGAGCCAGAAGAACTCTGTAGCATTAGTGAGGTAACTGGATCCACGTGTCTGACCGATTCCAGCCAATTCCATCAGACGTAACTTTTCCACCAGCTCAACTCCACCCCAGTCGTTCCCGGACGCGAACACTTCATATCCATTGTATGACGTGTTGACGGGAGTCTCCCACATAGGTTGATAGCGGCGCATGTCATCCAAAGTTATAAAGCCTTTTTTTTCTTGAATCAGTGATGTCATGACTTGGGCCCAGGTCCCGTTGTAGAAGTACCCCTTCGCATCGGTGGATACGTTCCTTATGAATTCAGCTAGCTCAGGTTGTTTGAACAGTTCTTTGTAGGCGTATGGTTTCCCGGTATCAGGGTTGGTAAAAATATTTTTACCTAGATATAAAATACAGTGATGTTATTTTCTGGCTGAATAAGCCACGTGACTAATATTTTATCAATACGGCGAGGAACCTCTGAACGTCAATACGAAACCATTACTCTCGGAGACCGTTTCACAGCAATTTATTATCGTCTTTGATCCGGAAAAGGAACTTTGTCCTTCTTTTTCTAAGGTTTAATTAGGGATGTTTCATTCTAACTGGTGATGTGGAAGCTGAATTTGGTTAAGCTCACACACACACATTGTCAATTTATTGAAGTCGAGTTCTACTGACCATGAAATGGCATCCTTAGCGAGTTATGATATACCAACTTTCTTTCGTACGTGGTTAATATTTGCTGTTGTTGTTGTTGTTGTTGTAAAAAATGAATAAAAATACTTTAAAATGAACAAGAATCCTTGGTAAGTATTCTAGACCTGGCAGGTATAGATAAAAAGATTCTTCTAGCTACTATTATAATTATAATGAGGAGAACCGACGAGTTACCTGCTAATGGCTACCGTCTAAGTATTCAGGACCATTATATTTTGATGATCATTGCTGGATCTGAAAGGGTTAGTTATTTTTGGTAGATACAATGATTTAAGAGGCTGCAAATACCTTGAGTTGTTCTCAAAAGTGTTATGTCGTTGTAGTAAGCTTTGATGGAAGCTGCCATGCCGCTGGACAGTTTAAATCCGTTTTCTGCGAAGTATAACGCGGGCTCGAACAACGTCTTTAGAGGAAACTTCGCAAACTTGTTGGCCGCGTCTGCTACACCAGCAATGAATCCTGGGACGAGAACTGAAGCACCGTTATCACCGGAAGTGTGGACTTTAGGGATCTGGGACGGGTCTCCTTCTAAGGGAGTATTCCAGCCGCCATTAATGCTGTATACCCTATCGGAGGATTTCTCGTAGTAAAGGATTTGCGTGACACCAGCGTATGAAACGTAGGACCCAGTTGCCAGCGTGACCTCTGAAGTGAAAACACAACTGCGTAACTTTTCATGCGTTAATTCTTGGTTCACAAATTAAGATTCCCAAAAGTCATGAGTTATACTGTCATAAGACTTAATAGGCATTATGTTTTAGAAAACGAAAAAAAAGGAAAAAAAAGAAAAAATTAAAGAGCATAAGTATCTTTCAGCAATGGAGTAATAAAAGTAAAGAACTTGGCATTATTTTCTTTATATGCGAAGACGTATTCTCGCGTAAACAACGAAACACGCGTTTCTGTGATTTATTTTGTACTTCGACAAAACATGTCCGTTTTAACCAATGAGAGTACGGTATCCAAAGGAAAAAGGCAAACGGCAAAAAGGCAACATACGTTTTATCAAACTTCACGATCACTGACCCGTCAGAGTAGATTCAGTTAGCGGAATAACGCCGCGTTCGAACTCTTCAACTAATTTACTGGTTCAGGTGATATTCTCTAACTTACGCCGAGTGTCTATGAAGAGCGTTTATCACAACCTCCATATGGTCCATATGGCAGGTCCTCGCGAACAGCGCTGAAGTAAATTATCCTTTCAGGCTTCATTTGTGACTCATTTATTGAAAGACTTTCAATTTTCGTGCAAACTGTTATTGTTTTAACAGCTGGTAGTAGGAATGGTACAGTAGTCAGGTAGTGTAAACAAATTTAGGCCAGCCTTTTACAATTGTATTTTTAGGCGCTGGTTTTAACTTTTAAAAGGTATGTTTAGGGGTGCGTGCGATTGAAAATAAAGACTCACGTGAGAAATGACAACATAAATTCTATTTTTCACATACTGTTTTAACTTCAGTTTAAGACTTCCCGATTATTACCAGAGGATGACTCTTAGGGTACGAAGGCGGGTATTTTGGCAGTGTCGCCTAATGTTGATTCTATCAACTTGAATACTGGATTTAAATTAGTAAAAGGCTGCAATTTAACGAAATAATGACCATAATGGATGTATGTAAATAGTCTCTCTGTAAAGAGTTTTCACCTGAAGGCTAAATTCTCTTGTCCCGTCCGAGCCAAATTCACGGGTAAAAAGAAAATCGCCATGGCCATCGCATCAACTAAATCAAGAAGAATCACTCCCTTGCAGCTCTAACTCAAAATTTCTCTTTTCCTCTCCCACCTCGATTCTCTACCAGTCTGACCCCATGCGAGCATCCAGTCGTGTATCAACAATGCTCTTCCATTACGCTTGTTTTCATACCTGTAAGGGCAGTCGCTAAACATGCGTCCATGGCGTTCCCGCCTTTCCTGAGCGCGTCCATTCCAGAATGCACAGCCAACGGCTCAGTCGTTCCCGCTACGATCCCTTGGCCGGCGCTGACCGCCAATGGCTTTGGTCGCTCAAACCGGTTGAGAGTCATTTTCTCCAGTCGTTCAAACTCTCCTTGAGGCCATGTTGCAGGGGACAAAGATGTGTCGCAGATTGCGGTCCGTGCAATCATCAGCACTGCAGACAACAATAAAGAAAGACCACGACGCATCGCTAAGAAAGAATAAAACTGGCTCGCAAGTCTGTTATTGTCACTATTCTATCTGCTTCCTTCAGCAAGACGGTCGATCTAACCCCGATTCACAAATGAGCAAGCTAAAACTGCCACGTATGATCACTTATCGTGGCGTGACTGACGTACGCGCTAAAGTAACCGAAGCGATATTGGATTAGTTCAGAAAAGCTGTCATGTTTCTCAAAGACGTCATTGTAGTGTCTTTGCGTAGCTGTGCAAAGACAGATCCATCAGCCAGGTCACCCTCTTTGCTAGAGTGAGGATTTTACTCAATGAGTGCCCTAAGGTCCTGAAAGCTCTGAGAGAATGTAAGGCAGCCTTTCACAAAAAAAAAATTATTGGGTGTTTATGCGAGTAGACTTTGCTAGCTAAATGTCCGCGCCATCGTAGTAGTCTTTGGAAGACTGTTTTGCTGACAAAATCTGAAAATCGCGAAGGTAGATTCCGCTGGGAATATTTTAATAAAATTAAAAACATTGACTCGGCACCATCAGCTGCCATCCTGTGCACAGCCACTCCTTTCCCCCTCCCCAACCAATCACTTCTAGGGGGACCTCCATTAATTTGCTGTGGTTGATGGGGTCCTTATATAAGACTTAAGAATCTTAATTATGTAGTCGTTTCACCAAGCGAGGAAAACAGCTTTTTGTCAACATTCTCTACAATTACAGATGAGCGCTGTCAAGTTATTTTCGTTTCCATCGAGATATCCCAATTGAAACTTCGCATCGAAAAACCAAAACGTCATTTTAGAATACTTACCCCGTGAAAGCTTTGAACGGTAATGAACATTATGAATATTGCAGTTAGTATCTGACTTTTGATGTAACGCCAGAAGCTCCAGTATATAGGCCCGCCAAGATGACGCATGGTAATACCATCTTAAAGGACTTCTCGAGTGACTTACTTACACGACATCACGCTTTTTTGTAGGAGAAGAGTTTTGTGATGAGCAAAAGACAATAAATAACGATTACGTAGGCACCATTCATGTTGCATGTTGTCACTCTTCAAAACAATGTACACCGAGGGTCCTCCTAAAAATGAAGATAAAGGTACGAGAAGAATTTGCAATATGGGCCCTGACGGTCGCCATGATGGTTCTTATATTATTATCCAAATTAATCACGTGTCACATTGGTAGCGCCTAAAGTGTTTTTGTTTTAATACCCATTTTTGGCATTATCTCGGTCTCTGAAAGAAAGAAAAGGAAAATTTTGCCAATAATTACTTTTTAGAGAGGTTATTCGAGGCTATCACTCTTACCGCCATTACGAAGCTGGTGACTCTCTACGATGCTAATGCTTCAAGTGGTTCCTTTCGAGATTTTTGACGATCACTTCCGTCACCTTTGCCACCCACGGGCTTCTTGAAGGAATATTTAGTTCCAAAAGAGAGTTCAGTTTCTTTTTGCCTGAGTGTCCGAAACGATTGAATTGCTTTTGTTAATCACCCAAAGAAAAACACGAACAATAAAACGCGTTTTTAACTTTTGGATCGAAGAGGCCGCAAAACTGGTGACCTGGGCAAAGGAAGAACTTACTGGTCAATGTCGGTTTGATTCCCAAGAAATCTAAGTTAAAGTCTGAGTTAGTCAAGAATCATGCCCCATAAGGCTTAATGTTTGTATCATGAAGCAACTAAAAGTACTTCTACTCCCCTCGATGGGATGCTAGTCCATCCCAAGATCACCCACAAAAACAAAATTTATAGTCCATTTAAACACAGGTCCAGTTGTTCAATGGATGGATAAAACCGTCCACCGGACAAACCGCTATCCAGTGGATAAATGTTGACAAAACAAACTGCAGTAACCACTAGATACTGTAAACTTCCGATAGTAACGACCCTCGATTCATTCGGAATTAGCAGCCTTTGTAGCTCGCTACTTTCGGGGCGTCCTTACTTTAGGGGAGATAAAAACGTCATATAACGTTGGTGCAGCTGAGCTATTTTTACGAAATAAAAGATGGCAATTCATAAAACACTTTTCTCAAAATGAGATAAAATTCGTTATTGTTCCAGTTTCATGTTACTAACATATGGGTGGCCTCTATACATGTCTACATCGTTTTTTCTGTCGTAGGTACTACAAGTTGAGCAAGTTTCTCCTGGGGCTGGGCTCGCTACCTTCGGGATTTACTAGAGGCAATAGTTTTCTGACGTTACTTTCGGGGTGAGGGGTCGCTCCTTTCGGGAGGTCGTCACTATCGAAAGTTTACGGTAGTGTGTTATCCGGTGGATAGCGTTATCCGCTCTTTGAACAACTGGAGCCAGGTTGTAGAGAGGCACTATATGATAGTCAATTGTCTTAATCAAGAGTTCAACACCATGATCCCGGCTAGGGCTCCAATCTGGACCCGTCGCGTCACAATAACGACCCCCTGATTACGCTCGGTACCTTTAAACATTTAGAATTTAGGACAAACTGCATCAGTTCTCGTGTCACATATCATTTATTCTGGACTTGCACTTCTTTTTGAATGTGTTACAACTCATTTTTGCCCATATGCGCACAATTTATACAGTTATTTTCTATTTCGAATTTTGTGCAGCTTCGGAACAACCCAGGAAAATCGCCGTTTTCGTCGGGCATGCAGAGCCTCAAACATTAAGGGGAACATCCTCTTCATTGCAGTCTTCATCCTGAGTTTTTGAATCATGGCTGGAATGGAGCGTTGAGAGATCGCTGCTTGCTTGCACTCGTCTGGTATCTTGAGTTTCTCAGGTTGGACGGTGGTTTTTAAATCAAGAAAACTGGGAGCAAGGAAAAGAATTGTTAGCGTGTCCTCTGCAAACACAAGGAGTCTTTCCAACATAAAACGCCACGATTTTTTAGTGTCAAACTTTCTCACGCTATAAATCACGTCTTTGCTAAAACCCACCTGGTGTGGTTTTGCCCCCTACTCCAGGCGAAAGATATATCTCCCTACTTACCCCACGCAGCTTCCCGCCACCCCTCCCTCCCTAAGCATGCACTCTAAAAGCGGTCGGGTACGGCAACCGGAGGCACTGTTCGCAAGCTACTCCCCCCTGTCCATCTTAGGTTTCTAAAAGTTTCCCTTTTTCACCCATTTCTTGACAAAGTTTTTTTTTTCAAATGAATATATGAAAGATCATATATTTGAACGGTGGAGAAAGATTTGAAGACATGTTCTGTACACAACTTAAGCAGCTGTGAAATTAAGGCCTGAAGAAATATAAGGTTTTAGTTAATTTCACAGCTGGCTTAAGTTGTGAACATAACGTTAACTACCATGATCATTTATGCCTTTTTTTTAGAAAGGATATTTGCGTCGTATCTTCCTGGCGGCCGAGAAACTCCCCTATGAAATTTGTCAATGTCTGATGAAAATCAAGGTTACATAGCTATAATAACAAATATCAAAATGTTTCAAGGCCTGTTTACTGACAGTAAGCATTATAGTTAAATATCAGGCTGTACCTTGCAATCGTTTGTTTAGATGACAGAATTGTTTACACATTGTCATACTCAGTGGTTTTTGGAGAACGGTTTAAGCGTATTTTACCTTCCCGCAAGAGCGGAATCATTTCTCTTCTCAGCGAAGAATACGGGAATGCATTGGTCTCCAGACTCGAGTGTTACGACACCAACACCTACCAAATGGATTGAACATAAAAATGATAAATTATATCTAATGTTTCATTTCATTGATCAGCTGCGCCCTTGCCGCTCAAATGATAAATTGACTCATCCGCTTGTTCTCCGAAAAATGAACCAGTAGCACTAAAACAGAAGAAATCTGGATTTGCAATGTTATAAACCTGTGACTTACACTTAAATCTCGACAGTGTCACCTCAATGGACATGATTATCACCTAGGACCAAAATATTATCCTTGCCTTCATCATCTTGGAATGAGTAACAATCAACTGAGGCTCCCTTATATCCAAGTAAACCTGTGGTGATATGTGTAAACGGTAAATCTTGCAAAAATTCAGGCCAAGTTTTTTCCTCCAGTGGCTCACTGTAACATCCCTCTGGGCTGTGCTCGTAGAGCTTGCCCTGTTGAGAAATAGTTCATTAATAGTTGATATTAATCAATAATTGAAAATTTAAGGCGGTCACAACCCTGATTTTCATCAAAAGCTAACTAACTATATATCAATGAAACCAATTGCTTGCAAATTGCAAAAATGTATATTTCAATGCTGTGTCAATGTAATATTGATCAAACTGTTAATGATGGAAAGAGCTTGAAACCGTTGTCAGCCATAATTTAATTTTAATATAACTAAACTACGACAGCGATAGCAGCTCACGCGAGCACTCGTTATAGCCTACAAAATATACCAACAAATGTTAACTTTGTTAATTTGTTGATTCTCTAAAATCAGGTATCCGTGGAAAGATAAGGAAGGTGCTGCAGGATTTTACACAAACTCAAGGTTGTCATTGCCAAAGAAGGAAACTGCTCCCGTGAAATATTATTAACAAATAAATTACGCCTGGAGATTTTGAAGAAACTTAAACGTGTAGAAAGCTAAAAGTAAGGGAGCATTTCAGGTTTAATTTGGCACGAGGTGCAGACTTTTTAAACTGTTTGAAGCTGTTTATACGTCATCCTTCGTTTTGAAACTGAACATATAGCCTGCGTAGTAGCCGTTTTCTTTCCTTTTCCAGGCGGAGAGATAGAACAAGCGAGCGAGCAAGGCAAGCGGGCGGGTAAAGGAGTGCGCTTATGCTCCATTTTCTTTCGCACTCGCTCGCAGTTTGGTTTCCTTGGCGTGCTTTTTTGGAAACGCCTGCTACGCAGACTACTAAACACACTGGAGCATAACTCAGGCGCGGATCCATACCGGTTTCCACCGTTTTACGAAAATCGGTCAGATAGTTCAGAATTGCTCAAGAACCCCCAAAAGGGGACTTTAGGAATAAAAAATTCCAGAACATTTCTTAAGGGAGCACGGCCCTGGACCCCTCTAGGAGACACTCGTTATTTCGGAAATCAGTCACCATTTATCCTAGATCCGCGCCTGTAACTGATCGAAAGTGCTTCATAAGAAGCCAGAACGAATTGAAAGAATTTTAAGTAATCCCAGTTATCAACTGTTCTCGTTAACAATTATAAGCCACGGTTACCTCTTTAAAGTCCATTATCAAAATTTCATCACCTTCCTCTTCCTGCATACGTTGAAGGTTCAAGTCTAAGTTGAATGTCATGTCAAATGTTTCTGAAAACCCTGACTCGTCCACCTCGACCTGTAAAGCATTGCACATATTAGAGTCCCCATCTCAACATTTTGCGGAAGTACTGACAAAGCTAGGGCCGTAGCCAGAAAGAGATTACGACTGAGGCAATATCCATGAAAAAATTATGGTTGAATACTCTTCTAAGAACTTAGGGAGCTTATGATGACTATAAACAACAAAAACGAAAAAACGCCTCGATTTGCCTGTTACTACAATAGGTTTAATTTCACAGCTTCCAGCGGTACGTTCATCGAACCTTGTTTTGACCTGTTTTGCAAACTCTACAAAGCTAGATGCGAGCGGAATGTTTACGATAATGATGCAACATTAAACTTACCGTATACAGCCTACCCGAGAGCTGCTTCGGAAAACCTAACGAAAAAAAAAGGGCACATGTAAAATTTTAGAGGAAAAAAGTCAAACAACCACTATGTTGGGTTGCGCGTGTCTTCTTACCGGAACATGTTAGAGCTCGCTTTGCTTGGTTTCCTTTGGCAATAGAACAACCAAAGAGTAGCATAGCTACAAAGAGTATGGCCTTCATCTTCGCCTCATCTGTATAAGGTGAGTTCTCTGTTCACTGTGCCTTATTTATGTATTTCATTGATGTATACAGCTGCATGAAGTTCAACAATCCATTAAGAAGAGCAACGTAGCTAAGTTTAATAAAATAAAGTGGACGAGGAAACAGGTAGAATAACAGTTGTAAAAGAATAATTTTTGTTGCCGGTTGTAGGGTCAACAAATTAACTGAAGAATAGAGGGTAATACAATACAAAAAGAACTTAAGTTACTAAGTTAAGTACACAGGAGTCAAAAGTCATACATTGTAAATTAATTGGGCCAAAGAGTCACATTTGGACTTGGTCCTTCTTCGTGCTACATTTTGATGAGGATGCGGAAAAATAAACAGTAGCACACGCAACTATTACGGATTGGTAAGAGTGCGCGCGCTTTAAGTTGTTTAAAAAATGAAATCCACCTTCAGCCCGTGTGGCCTTAGATTGATAACGTGGAAAATAAGATTCATTTCGTCCAGGCCTGTGGCGTTGTTGGTCCTCTGCATTGCTTTTAATTAACAACAGACTTCCATGTCGTGCATTTGGTGATCTGTGTTGAAATGTTCGGCAACGGGCGGGAAACGGGGCGGGTTGTTTGAAAAGGCTCGAAGACGGTCACCCGTGGGTTTCCTACGATATTACTTGATTTAAGAACAGAGTAAATTAAGTGCAAGAAGGAACAGATAGAATAGCAGTAGCATAGGACTATTGTTGTTGCGTAATAGGGTCAGCCAATTAATTGACGGTAAAAAGGGCAGTACATAAAGGACTCAAGTTACAAGTTAAGTACACAAGAACCTCACGAAATGTTCTTTTTATATCAAAGTACCAGTCAAACCTTTCCTTAATAGGGGACTTTAGATTTGAGTACGAATCAATCTCGTATTCGTACTCCAGTCTATAAAGGTCCGTAATAAGAGCACCTCTATATTGCGGACAGCCACTCCACTCTGGTCCATAGCTGTCCGTATTACAGGGGTTCCACTGTACTGAGCTTTCACTGTTTCATTTTCTATAAAATTTTAATAGTTGATCAAAAAAACTCGATTTAATGGGAATTCACTCTACGTTTGTTATTTTCGATAGGCCTTGGCTTGAGAATATATTTAGAATTTCCTTCTTGATATATACATTGATATGAATGATATGCAATTTTGCCATACTCCCATTTAATACTCCCACAACGGATCGACAGATACAACTTATTTAAAGTCAACTACCACGTTCAATTTTAATTGCCTGCAAACAAATTAGGAAGTAACCGGAAGAACAAATAAATGAGCACTGTTTACTCTTACTTCAAAGGGTGACTATCTTTTTTTGGAATGCCAAATTAAAACCCCAAAGACGTATGTTCCTTGATGGACACCAAAA